GTCTATGAATAGAGTGGAATCATTTGTGTATTTTTGTAACCCTGTAATGTGTATTTGTCCGCAGATTGGAGAGAGAATACGAGTGATTTTAGACATGGATGACAAGACGCTAGCCTTCGAGAGGGGTTTTGAGTTTCTTGGAATAGCGTTTCGTGGACTGCCCAAAGCCTGCCTGTTCCCCGCTGTCTCTGCAGTGTACGGCAACACTGAGGTCACCATGGTGTACCTGGGAAAACCTCTAGACGGCTAGCAGCAAACCGTGCCACCATAACACTCACAGTCCACTGGCAGGTGCAGGACTTTCTCTGGCAACTGACTCTGTTTGTTGCATCGTTTAAAAGGTTTTGGAGTCCAGGGGGTCGTGTTCCTTCCAAGCTGAATACTATTCACACACACAGAGAGAACTGTTGACATTTCTACTACTGCTCAACATAAGGAGGCAGTTTTTCGACTGGACAAACAATAAGAAAAATGAATGTGTCTGAAACATGTTTCTGTATCAATGTGGAAGTGTTCACTTTTACAGTTTAGCTGCTGGACTGTTTTACTTACAGGATAGGGGGAACATTATTTAATTTTGTGCGATCATGGCTAACAGTGCTGAACATTTCCTTGAGATTGTATGTCTGCTTAAATAAGGCCAAAACTATTCTAAAATGTGGCAAATACTTTAAGACATCTTGTTAACAAGTGAAACAGTAGTTGTTATGAATTGCCATCTGCTGTATGAGTTTATAGAACCAGCTCATCGTGGATTAACACTTCACCTATACTTGATGAGTGGAATATAGTAGTTATATGCCAAATCAATGTGACCTGATGTTATACTTTGAAAACTAAGAGGACATGCGGACCAACTGTCATGCATGTGTATGGAGTATAACATCTGACATTTTAATATACTCATTCAGTAACGGTGTAAACTATACCTGTATCATGTTAATGTGAGTCCTTTTTAATGTGCTACCGTAGTATTACACACTATTTATTTCTTGGTTTTATCTATGGTACTATAATTACTGTGTATGGTAATAAGGCCTGAGAATAAAGTCTACATTGGTGCCACTCTTAGAATTAAGATGACTGGATGTCTGATTATGCACGACTGTCCAATTACACTACATGTTTCCATCTAATGTTATATTCATCTTAACAAAACTCAATTATATATGTTAGCACCCAGTTTTAGACGCTGCATAAAGTTAACGTCAGAGTAAATGTGTACTTATTTTTCATTTAGCATTGCGTATTCCACTTCTAAATCTGATCACTTCTAAAACTTTCCAATCTTCACGTGTGCATGGATTAAAGCAAAGGAATAATTAGCATAAATATGTCTTTGTCTCACCATGTAGTCAGAGGTGAATATTGCAACATCTGTGTGTCTAATCTTACCTTAATTATTATCTTTACTCACTTACAAGTCTAGCAGCAGAAGTTAAGTGGCAATGTGCAAATACTACGGCCATTTTGCATGTCAGGAGATTCAAAAGAAAATAAGTAATTTTACTTTTCCAGGCTCCATATCATTACTGCGTGCAGATACGTTGTCCGACCTGTGCAAACACGCTGCAACAGCCCAAAACATTACATAAGGAGAAACGTTCTGCACCTCCAAAGCAAAGAAAATAAAGAAACAAATGTCCCAAAACTAATGCAAATAAAGAAACATCCTCATCAAGTTGTCAACACATGTAGCATTTAGAAAACATTGCCAACTTGATGAAACATTCGCAGGGTTTACTTAAAGCGCTTTGCATTTCTAGCTGCTTTGTGCTGCTTTCGCACATTTGCACGGGTCGTCCACAAAATAAAACGGGGCATAATTACAGGAAAAGGCTCCCATTATTATAACAATATAGCAGTCCAACACCCTCAGCGACACTAACAGCCTAGTCATATTTCCCTGACAATGTATGGCATGAAAAATAACTTAAATTTGTCATTTTTGCAAACACTGAGGTTTTGACACTTTAACTTTAGTTGACTTAATGTCTCACTGCCAGAGAAATCCTCTAGTACTAAGAGCAAAAACAAGCAGTTTTTCTTTTTCTTTTTTAATCGAAAGAACATCACCATCCATGACTCATAATTGTGGATTAACAGACAGAAATAAAGCCCCTCCGCCTACAGGAGATCAGCCCTCGCCAACAGGAAATAAAAGGAGACAACATCACAGCACTGGACAAAGTGTTCTGCTGTGATCTCTCGGTTACCACTTTAATAAATGATTGATTGAATACAGTATGTGCTGCCAATGCTAAGCGCTTGGCTGCCTCGGTATGTCTGCCTATTTGTCACTTTCAAAGACACTGCGTATCTGCTATTACAGAGCATTACCTCTAATATCCTGACATTCTGCGTTGTGACCCTGAACGTCTCTCTGCCGGACTGTCTGTCTGTCAATGTCAGCCTCTCCATCCTTGATCGTTTGAACTGCCTGTCTGTCAGTCAGTCATCTTTCGTGTTGGGCTGATGATCTCATGTCTCGAATTAATGTCAATGTGGAGGTTAGCACAAAAACAATTCCATAGCTCTTTTGTTGCTAACTGTACAAACTACATGCAACAGCTCTAAATACCAGATTATCATACGTACTCGCTTTTTATCTATCATTTCATATATTAAGAAGAAATGCAAAGCCATTTAAAAATTCCATATAACAGTCCTATTTACACAGGCAATACTAGTTTCATATATTCAATATATCCTGTTTACACAAGAGGGCAGTAATACTCTGGTGCATGTTATGAATATACCCTTGCAGCAAAAGAAAATTCTAGTCATGTTCACGATGACATTTCAAGAGGACAAAGGTTCTTCAGCTTACTTCTTTAGTAAAAATCAAGCCGTTTTTTTGCAAATTGCAACTATTTTGAACGAATACATTAATGAATGAACGAGTGAATTGTATAGTTACACAGCTCAAATATTAAAATACACATAATATACGTTAGAAAGATATTAGGAGGAAGATAGGACTTACATTTGCTGTTGACAGAGACTACTGTTAAGAAAACTGAAGAGAAAGCAAAAACTAAAAATATAAACAATAATCTTCATTATTCTTGTATTTATTGATTCATGTGTTGTAATGTCAGTTCCTTTGGCTGTTGTCTTTTGAATTGTTTACAGGATTTTCTTTACTGCAGGCTGTGAGTAGACCATGGGACTTTACACCCCAACGGGCACTCTCACCACCTCAGCCCTTAAAAATAGAATGCTAATGTTTACACTGCACCAGGCCTTAATATGTCCTGAAACAGACAAATCCTAGAGAACCGAGTTCACAAGTGTGCCCACATGTTTTCACCACACGTCCAGAGTGTGCTCAGAAACAAGAATTACACAAGTGACACGCCACAACTGGGAGGTAATATGATGACTTTTAAGTAGTCTTTCTGGACCCTCATACGTTTCCTATCATCGGGATAATCACCATTTGTCATGAAAGTAGAAGACTCCTGTCTGACTCTCTCATGTTCTCACTTCTTATCGCAGAAGTATTTTCCTGTGGGTCTGTAACAGAAAACTCAACACCTTCCACCATGAGCTGGTTCATTTCAGTTTCAACAACGATTCAGTCAACGGTATTTCATTCATTTGCACCATGGTGTGGTTTGAATTATCTCCTGTAATAAAGAAATGGTTGTTAACAATAGCCTCACTTCAATACAGGCAGACCTTGAGATTTTATTAAAATGTTTACATCCATACATCAAATGGTGTAATGTACTGAAGTAAGTACTTAACTATGATATTATGGTACTTGAACTTTACTTAAGTATTCCCTTTAATGCTACTTTATACTTCTACTCCACTACATTTCAGAAGCAAATATTATACGGCTTACATTTATTTAACAATATCATTTACTAGTTACTTTACATATTCAGATGATAAGCTATATTAAATATAAATAAACAAATTCATAATCTATTAAATACAATTGTAGCAGTATATAAAGTAATTAAATTAGCTCAACCTTTACCATCTGTGATGAACACATTAACGCATCAATAATAATCCAGTCATTTATTATATATACTTTTCAAAAAGGACATTACGCACAATAAGTACTTTTCTTTTTGGTACTTTAAGTATAGTTGGATGACAGTAAAGTAAGTGAGTCAGATTTAAAATGCAGGACTTTTACTATTAACAGTGTTTTTACAATGAAGTATTTCTACTTTTGCTTAATAAGTAACATATCTGAGTACTTCCTCCACCTCTGCACACTCCATTGTTTTGTTTTCAAACTGCAGCAGCTCCTAACACTGTACAAATTCCAATGTGTATATATGAATTGGGTGATCTATTGGCAGAAATGGAATACATTATTAATTAGAGTAAAATAGCCTGAAACCTAAAAGTGATTTGTTTACCACTATCTTATAATGAGCTCTTCATATTCCTCTTCATGGAGTTTAATATGTTATACTGCCATGTTTCTACAGTAGCTCAGAACATACACATTAAACAAAAAAAGGCATTTTTACGTTACCATAAGGCAACAGTGGGTTCTTAGATGCCACTAAATCCTCCACACTGGACCTTTAAGAGTATCACACAACACTTTACCTCCGTATGCAGTCATCTAAACTGAAAACAGGCCAGAAGTGAGAGCTTGAGATGTCCTGTGTGAAAACAGGAAGGCATCACCAACAAATCAACCATTGGTGCTGTTCCCTTTTCTCTCCCCCATGGGTTACATCTAAGAAGTTTACAAATGGAGTTTGTTGCAGTGATGCGGTTTGTTTTTAAAATTGTGTTTTTCATTAATCATCTTCTTCTCTAAATGATGTTTTGATCCAGAAGCATTGTGACCCATGAACATACTCCCTTATACTCACAGACTGGAGTGTATCTGTGTGTGCTGCGTGAAGGTTCGACAGGCCGAATATCAGGCAGGAAGGGTGTGTTTGTCGAGTGGTTTCCTCTCTAGTAGCTTGGCTGATCAGAAAAAGCCGAGGGTGTGAAGGGTGTGCACTGCTAAGGTTTTTGTGGTTGCAGTTGCGCTGTCAACCTTAAAGGTGCATGCACAACAATTGTCTTGGAGTGTGTGTGATGGGAAACAAAAAACAAAGAGGCTTATGCTGTGCTGGTTGAGAGCTGTTGAGCCTGCACTCGCCTTCCTGTGGCCCCTGCCTTGAGAACCTCTTTCTGATTTCAGCTTGTCCATGTGACTCGGGTTTCCGCTGCTTGCCTGCTTCCGTGAATAGTAAAAAGAGGTATTGGTGTTTCTCTCAGAGCAGAGGAAGACAGCTGAATCTCACACACGAGAAGACACTCTGCGATAGCGAGTCAACCAGCGATATGGTCAGGGGATCAACCGTCAGTGGCTTGGGAAATCCACACCTAACCACCACAGTAAGTAACTGCACCTTGCACTCAACTAGTACTGCAGTATGCGCTGAGGCTACGGCTGCTTAAAGCGTGATTTATCTTACATTTGAATGTTGAATTTAAACTCTTTTGTCTTTGGTGCATTTGCGAAGTATATCATATCAAATTCTGTATAGGATGTCATAAAGAGTCGTTAAAACTCTTAATGGCATCCTATACAGAATGTGTATCAATGTTGCTTAATGAGTCATTAGAAATGTCCCCAAATTGCTTGTATCGCATTTGAGCACTATCGTTGTGTAATGGATTACTCACTACTAAAGCTCCAAAGTTGGAATAAAACAAATGGCCCAATGATATCTTAATTTATTTATGCAGATTTTTAGTTTTAGATTATATTATTCAATTAACTTATTACACATTGTGTCATTATTCAGATGCATGGGACAATATGCTGTCATTTTGTGCAATTTTAATGCAAAATAAGCGTTGATTATATTGTATCAGTATTAACAGCACGATGGTTTCGATATGCAAGTTAAGTTGTGCACAACAATGTAGTTAACTACTTTTAGCCCTGCAAAATGGGAAATATTAAATATTTATTTCAATAGCTTAGCATAAAACAAAAGTAAATGGTCATATATTGTTTTTCAAAACTCAGAGTAAAATCTCATTAATAATACCCCCCAAAACAGGATAACACCACTGACGTTAATTAATAGATTAACATGCGTGCCGGCCAAAAAGGAACACAAGGCCCCCATATTCAGTGTATTTCACAACCTTGTTAAAATAGAAATTAGGGACATTTTACAAAAATGTCCAGCTGCTGTTTTTTCAGGAAGAAATATGATTGTATAGAGAATATTCATATTATTAACAGACTTCCGCAATGGAAGGCACATGAACTGAACACAGTCAGCACAGTTTGTCAGGCCATATATATATATGCCTAAATTAAGAAAAAAAACTATATAAGTATACATTTGTTTTGTTGCGTTATCATTGCTCTGACCTCCCCAACGCTCCCCCAGTTCAATCATATATGTACAGTGAAGGAATTGATCAACCACATATTTGCTTTTTAAAGACATAGTGCTACATTGATACTATGATAATCATTAGATGCAAGTTTTAAAAGTATGGTTTTAAACTGAGGAACAGCAAGGCTAACACAACACAACCCCCCCCTCTCTCTTTTTCTATATCCCTGTCAACAGTGAGGATGTTAAAATGCCAGTCCACAGGATCCATCACATCCTGCTTTGCTTGTTACACATGTGGACAACCCTGACTTCAGTGTCAAGTCACCCACAACACAGCATATGCCAGCTGGTAAGATGTCTCTCTTTTATACATTCTACTTAATAAAAGCACATCTTGAAATTAACTTAAGTCTCATTAACATAGCTAGACATATGAAGTAAATCTGATGAAAATGGCAAACCTATTCATGTTTTTTTATTTTTTATAAAAACAGGGTCAGATGTAAAGCTTGGTTAAAAGATTTTTTTTAAACGTTTCCATTACAACACTCTGCATTCAGTGCATATCAGATGTTCTGTAAAGATGAGAACTGAGACGAAAAATGGTCATGTGAACATGTTGCAGCAATTTATATTTTGTGGGGATATTTTGTGTGCTCTGACATTTGCTCATCAGGAAAAGTGAGTAAATTATGTGATTCATCAAAGTTGGATATCAAAAATATTAAAATTATTTGTAATTTCCACACAAAAAAAAAATAGTATCTAAAAAGCCTATGTACCATACGTACTATACGCCATACTGCATATATGTACTTTAGTCTGTATCACTACTTCACATTTACAGAAGGGATTTATTGAAAGTACGCTTTATTAATGACATACTCACTAAATAGTGATAAAGTCTCTATTTATTAAAGTAAATCATTCTTAATAATCCAGGTTTGGTCTGGAGGCTGCAAAGGTTAACCATAGCGGAATTATATCGACAGTTTAAATCCTATAGATAACTTGAATAACTTTTCTCAAATAAGAATTCACTGCTATAAATTGCAAAAAACAGTTGTTGAGAGTTTTTGTGGATCAAAGTGGTAGACATTTGCCAAATGAAATTCATTCGCCATCTGGCTGACAAAAATAGACATACAATTTACACACAATCTTAAAGGTATGTGCTCTTATCTCCGCAGATACAAAGAACGGCTGTCTGCAACAATGGCAATCTCTCCTTTGTGCCTGCAAGACTCCCGAAGGACCTGGAGGAGCTTCAGCTCAACCAAAACAACATTCAAACACTACAGAACAGTTCGCTCCTCAATTATCCCTCACTAAACACCTTGAGCTTAGCTTGTAATAGTTTAGAACAAATTGAATTAAACACCTTTCAAGACTTAAAGTTGTTACAAAGCCTCAATTTAGCCAAAAACAAGCTTCATGTTGGGTATGAAGAAACCAGCCATGCATTAAAGACTCTACCCAGGCTAAGGGCTCTGGATCTATCTGAGAATGAGCTTAATGATGAAATGATAGCCACTCTCCTCCAAAATCTGACATCCCTGGAGTATCTCAATCTTTCGGGAAACGTCTTGGGGAGGCTGGATGAGACGTCGTTCAGTGATCTCCACCAACTCAAAGAACTGGACCTACAGAGGAACATCATGTACGAGATTGCTGGCGCCTTCGACAGCAATCCCAAACTCCAGCGGCTCAACCTGGCCTTCAACTATCTGCTTTGCCTGACAGACTTCCACACGACCCAGCTGGTGGTCCTCAATGCCAGCCACAACTTCATTGAATGGTTCAGCTCCAGACAGGACCTTAATGACACGTTCCTGCTAGAGACGCTCGATCTATCAGATAACAGACTGTTCTTCTTTCCTTTCTTGCCTAACCACAGCCACTTGCGGAATCTTTACCTATCCCACAACAACATTAGGTTTTACGAACACTTGGCAGACAACAGCACATTGCCGAACTCGACAACAACTGTTGAGTTCTACAATATGAACAAGTATTCGGGCAACGTGACGGCCCAGCTGTGGGATGAGAGCATTCATGGAGACATCGCATCTCTAGAGATTTTGGATCTAAGAGGGAACCAGGTGCAGTATTTTCCTCACGGATTCATCCAGAAAATGCCTGTTCTGTCGAGACTTCAAATGTGCACAAACTGTCTGGAAACCTTGAATCTAACCTCCGAACAGTTCTCTGGCAGCTTGTACGAGTTGGACGTTAGCAACAACAGGCTGAACCAGATCGCAGCAGATATAGGTATGCTGACAGCTCTTGGAAATCTGACATACCTTAACCTCAGCCTGAACGACATTAAGTTGTTACCCTCTGGATTATTTTCCTCATTGCCAAGCCTCAGGTCAGTGGATCTGAGTTATAACAACGTTGGCTTTTGCCTTCCTGAGGAATCTGAGACTAAAACAGACAATAGTACAACTTGCGTGGATTGGAAAAACATTGCATCCTTAAGGCAGCTTTTCCTTAAAGGTTGCAACCTTGAAATAATTCCATCATCTGCATTCACTGGGTTGTCTCTAACGCACCTGGAACTGTCAGACAACCCTGGAGTCATTGTCCAAGAGTCACTAAAAGGTCTAAGAACATTACAGCATCTAGGTTTAGGAAACACTTACATACAAGACTTTGACTTCTCCCATTTCCAAAGCCTGAAGTCTTTAATCATTTCCGGTAACTATCTTTCCCATCTTCCCCCTTCCCTTCTTAATCTCGATTTAAAAGTGCTGGATTTGAGGGACAACAAAATGTCCACTATTCCCTCTATTCAGGCCAACACATTAGCCCAGAAACTGCACACTGTTTTCCTAACAGGAAATCCGTTCAACTGCTGCCAAACCGAATGGTTCCGGACATTTGAAACAACAAAGACTATCAATATGGTCGGACAATCACACATTGAATGTGAGGATCTCATCCAAATGAGATACAGAGTGGAGCACTTTCAGCTATTTGTGTGTAATCAGACAGAAGAGGAATCTATATTGTGGTACATTCTGCTTTTTGTACCTATCTGTCTTTCTTTTGTTGGCATATCCGTTATTGTTCTCCTCACCTCTAAGCCCAAAATGCTACCAATGTCAATCAAAAAGAAGTGCCTGAAGCCAACATCCTACTGATACTTTATAAATCGAAACAAAACCATGTTGTGTACAGTATATTATTAATAAATGTAACTGAATATATTTTGGAAATAAATTCAAGTCATTGTAATGAAACAATCATTCTATGATATGTATTTGAGCAAAAGACTATTTACTTTTTTACTTTGTGCAGTTGATGTATGGTTCAAAACCAGACCCTAACCTTGATGTCAAAATGTGTGAATGTGTGTGTGAATGTGTGTGTGTGTGTGTGTGTGTGTGTGTGTGTGTGTGTGTGTGTGTGTGTGTGTGTGGGTGTGTGTGTGTGTGTGTGTGTGTGTGTGTGTGTGTGTGTGTGTGTGTGTGTGTGTGTGTGTGTGTGTGTGTGTGTGTGTGTGTGTGTACATATGCAGAAGTAGTGTGATGCAAGCTGTGGCTATAAGCAGCAGAGGAAACAAGAAATTTCCTGTTTTGCTCAGATGTGCAGGAACTGCCCAGTTCAGTATCTCAGAGAGGAGGGTTTGAGGTTTCCTTACTATCAGGGAGTCACAGATGCAGGTCAAGTTTAAGCAAAGTTGCGTGGATAAAGTCATAAACATTATGAAAAAGGGACGTTTATCTACCTGTGTGTGTATGTGTGTTGTTTAGCAGCAGGAAGGTTGGTGGATCCGTGTGTAGCCGTGCAGAGTGCCGGAGGCCTAACCATAAAGTAACCAGAATACCGCTGTGGTGATGCTCAGGGTCATGGTGGTTGTAACATAAAAAGAGAAACCTGAGTGAATCCATGACAAAGCCTAGAAATATCATTATTTTTACATAACTTTTATGATAAAGTCGACAGTAAGAGTCAAAATATGTTTTTGGTGTCCATCTGCAGAGCATGCACATTCAATAAGATAGAAATGTTACTCCGGCGGCCATCAGATAGAGCTTGTGACTTGAACGTTTTTAGTTTGAATAACTATAACCACCATTAAGTTATTAATAATAAGTGTAAACAATCTTGCACTTCTGTATTTTTATAAATGGGAAACTTGAAACCGGATTAAAATAACCAGCAAATACTATGCTTACTGGTGCAAAAAGAGGTTTTTTTCATGAAATGAACAACAGGCAATATAAAATAAAGCAAAAAGTTGACCTGGAACGATAACATGTTAATAAAATGTCTTATTTATCAATAGTTTTGGGGCCTGTTGCTGAGTGTTGGAGATATTGGCCATAAAGTTGAGACTCTCCTGAGCTCACCTGAGCTAGCTAACGTTACAGCTCAGCCGAGTACGACTTCTTTCCTGTTTACATCTCAGGAGCACAAGACTCTTGTCGCATATGATGTATGCTCTGATCTTTAAGGTGATAGTTGGCTGGTGTTTTAATGGTAGAAAGAAAATAGTTCCTACATGAAACTGCTCACAACAAGATCTGAGACTTGTCTTAAAGTGGACCTATCATGCTATATTTTAATAATATATTGTATGGCCATACCTATATAAAACATGTCTGCGAAGTTTTTTTTTCAAAATACCAAACAGATCATGCATTTTAGCCATGCCTCATTTCGCTCTATTTTAGCCCTGTTTTTGCAAGGGCTGAATCTGTGAGAAGTCTTCTTCACTGCTTTTGTGGCAGACTACAGCGCCACCTACAGGCCTGGCATATGTACTACAGTGTCTCCAGCGCTTTCGAACGGCAATGGCCGTCTCCTCCTGATAGGGGGAGAGTTGCCCATATAGGCGGAGCTCCTCCTTCCTGACGTCAGAGAATTTTCAAATCTGGATCAGTCTGTATCAGATCTGTTGCAGCCCCGTTTTTAGAAATTTGGGTATGGAGGGAAAGAGAGAGGGTTGTGTTTTCTGATACTTGGTGAGTTCCCTGACACACCGGGGACACATATTCATGTATAAAAGACGTACAAAAGAGCATTTTGCATGATAGGTCCACTTTAAGTAACTGGGTCATGAATCCTGGAATGAGACGTCACTGTTGAGTCTTTCAAATCTGTTTTGCGGACGATTTTAGCATCACAAGTTGAGTTTCATTATATTTCAGAGGGCAGACATCTTTACTGCCAATAACACATGGTAACTCACACCAAAACAATCTAGCGTGATAATATACATTTTAGATTTTGGGGCGGATTGTCTCTTTAAAAGTCCCATTGGGAAAGATTGGGAAATACGTGGCATCAAGAAATCATAATTTGCGGAAGGTACTGGTCACAAAATTGTTGACCAAGAGGAATTTTATTTGATTACTCAGCTATGTCAGGTCAGAAGTTAGAAGACAACTAAACCAAGTTTGTAAAAGGGGAATTTACTTAACACGCAACCAAGCTTTCAAAACTTAGCTAGCTCAACATTGTATATAAAATAATTAGATGTGATAAAGCCATATTCAGCAGTGCTCAGGGAATCAAGCGACCACATACATACTCAAGTGTGCTGTGTGCACACAGCAAAATAGCCAAAACACACATTGATGCAGCTGATTTGTCTTTGCAAAACAGCCCAGCTGTGGTTTTGGGGTCGGCACTAGAAGTAAGTTACCAAATATACACCACAACACTCTTCATAAAAGATGTGGCTAAGGAAAATAATGTGCTTTTTCTTCGAGGCAGAGGTCAAAGTTTCTCACAGATAACTGCAAAATTATGGAGAAGTGAAATTTGACCTAAAGTGGTTAAATTAGATTATTTTGAGTTGAGTTGCATTCTGATAGCGAGTGAGTTCTGTGGTTCATCGGAACTAGGCCAATGTACAATCTCCATATAGCATGGATACATTACACCAGAAGTGGTCAGGGTCGCAGTGTGAAAGTAGCGGTAAAGGTGTTCCTGATAGCATTGAAAGGGTGCCAAGACAACTCGAGCTGTTTATAAATATATGGGGATGAATGATGTAAAGAAGAAAACAAGATTCCACAGCCATAATAGCTGTGAGGCTGACAGGCTGTGGTGCTTTTAAATAAATGCTAACGTCTGCATGTTGATGTGAAGCAGGTAAAATGACCAGGTGCAGCAGCTTCTGGCTGGAGACTATTGTAAAAAGGCTACAGAAGCAGTCCAAATGTCATTGCCATCCAGAGCAATCATGACCAAAAACAACAACACACAGCCTGTTAGTGGTGACAACCAATCTTTGACAGTGATAACAATGTTGGCTACCTGTTGCCCAATTACATTGTGAACCAGCCTTTCCAGCGAACTTCAGATAAGCAGTTTATCTTCTCACTTCACTTTTTTCAACCGTTTTCTTTTTCCTCTTCTGACTTTACCGATTAAAATATAACTTGTTTTTGCACCCAAACAGAAACCATATTCCAGTCCAGTCCCCAAAGTTTTCTTGGTAGATGTTTAAAGGAATGTGAAGCCTAAAGTTGTTTACACACAAGTTTATCGTCATACTCTGTAGAAAGCCCTGTTTAGAAGAGCTGATGATGCAAAACTGCCATTTTGCTTTTATTCCTCAAGCCTACATGAAGTGCACTTCAAGGAGGTCTAAAATGGCAGTTGACAACAAGTATTTTCTAAGTGACATTATGAAAGAAAATGAGGACTTCTGAAAGAGGAAGTGTTTTTTCTCAGGATCACTCATCTGATCTGTGAACTGGTTAAGGCTAACTTTATCTATAAGTGGGTGATGTTATCTTTAGAGAGATAAAGAAGAGAAATAAAAGTCAGGTTTCTTAAAAAGCAGAATGGTGCAGATAAAATGTATGCACAGCTGAGGTTTTATCAGGACCAATGTTTGCCTTAAATCACTCTTAGCTCTTATCTTTAGCTTTTGACTCAAACAAAATGATTTTGGTAAATAGCAAAACAGGCTACCAAAGTCAGAGTGGTTGGTTGCTGATGTTAATGGGCGTGTGCTGGAAATAAAGATGTGAAAAGATCTATCTTAAGAAGTCAACAGGCAGTTTGCAAAACTCCACTTCCTCTTAACCCTTCCTGCTCTTATGACAAGCGAGGACGGGGTGCTTTGCACTGGACTTAATGTTTAGCCATCAGTAAACGTGTGACTGCCTTAGTACTGCTAAAGGTGACCAATGACTATGGAAATGCAAAAATGTTTTCAATGTAGGTCTTTGAAGGACATTTTATGAAACTATGGTTAGAGAGGAGCCCTCAGAAGGGAGGATAATCAAGGCCAACATTGCTGCACACTTTGTATCTTCTTCAAACGAAGATATCTGTCAAACGGGGTCAGCACAGCAGTGTCCGTTATTTTCTGGGGATTTGTGCATTTCTGGTCCACAGCTGCTAGCTCTGCAGCACGGAGCTCCACTGGGAGCAGTGAAGCCTCAGGAGCGACATCAAAAATAACTCCTAGGGTAAAGGCACTCTACTCCTTGCTTTGAATGTGTCAACATAAGGAATATATATATATTTCAGTGTCCCTCTAGAAAAAAGAAAGGGGCTCTTAGAAGATACAACACAAAATAAAAACGGTTTGTCCAAAATCAGGACAAATCAACATAAGAATAAGATGCCAGTAGCCTATGTATTAAATTAAAGGTGTCACTGGATCATATTGGGCATGAGTTTTGTGCTCGTGATTTTCAACTAATTTGACCTCTTTCACAGAATTCCTGTGAAAGAGGTCAAATTAGTTGAAAATCACCCTGAGAAACTCCTAATCAAAGAAATCAAAGACTGCACTTTTTGAACTCAACATTTGACAAGAATAGTTTTTGAAATTGCGCTGTAGGCGCAAATGTCATTAAGCAGCACTCCAAATTAGACAGTGACCGTTTCTCAGGCCGTTTCTCAATCTCGAGGATGCTGGCTTGGTAGTCGCGTACTTCCAAGTCACTTCCTTCAGAAACGAAGCAAGTATGCTTCCAAGCCACGGCTTCGGAAAACGAAGAAGAATGGAACAGGCTAACAAGTGTGCCACTCTCTCTAACGCAGGGGTGGTGAACCTCCGGCCCCCGGGCCGTATGCGGCCCGCGTGACCATTTGGTATGGCCCTCGAGGTAATTTATAAACACACGCAAAACATTTAAGAAATCTAGACCGCAAAATAATTAAACAAGCGAGTGCCTGTTTTTCCTGGCAACGGTCATGGTCCTTGAACACAACACGAGCCTAACGTGTCATCACGTGGTATATGTCTCGTCTGACAGGGGTGCAGTTCTGACGGAGAGCACCAGAACGCCGCT